CCCGACGACCTGCACGCGAAGTCGAGCACTTTACGGTAGAACAGTTTAACGAGGACCAATACCGCACACCCTCGGTCCCTACGCAGACTGATCCAAGTGATCGCCCACCCGCACACTGACCGTAGCCAGTGATGCTTGGCTTCGGTGATCTGCTGGGAGCCGCGTCTTCACGATCAGTCCACTGCGGGACAAGACGGGTATGAATATATTGTAAATATTTATCATCCCGAGTAAACTCGGTCATAGCAGAACTCGTCAATACGTTTTGTTTTATCACGTTTTTATTCGACCGGAGGCAAAGATTGGAAGTTTGCCAATTTTAGTTTGGGAGTTTTGCTATTTGTGGGACTGCAGATGTGTTTTGTACAACTGTATATACGACGGTTGATGAATTTACTTTGAAAAAAAGAGTAAAAAAAGGGCGTTCACGAGCGAAGGAGAAAATAATGCAGATTTAACTTTTTTCATTTGTCCGAGATAATTTGGTATAGTAAACTGAAGGGTAAATTAAATATTTTTCATACGTAAAAAAATAACGTTTCAACTTAGAGCATGTGTATAATGTTTTGTCCTTGTATTTATTAATGAAATAAAAAAATACGCGTATTTTTCGCATATTTTTTCAAAAAAATTGGTAAGGGAAGCTGTTAATTTAGAAGCAAATATACACCGAAGAGCCATTACATTATGACCACCCAGCTAATAACATGTAGGACCACCTTTAGCCCTCAAAACTGCTAGCACACACCGTGGCAATGATTCCACAAAGTGCTGATAGGTAGTCTGAGGTATGTGGCACCAAGCGCTCACCAACTGGTCCTGCAATTCTCTCACATTGCGAGGGGGTAGCGTGACAGCACGAATTTGGTTTTCCAAGTAGGACCACAAATGCTCTATTGGATTAAGGTCAGATGAATTTGGGGACCAAAACATGACTTGAAAGTCACTGGAATGTTCCTCCAACCAATCCATGACGTTTCGACTCTTATGGCATGGCGCATTATCCTGTTGGTAAACATCATCCCCCGCAGGAAAAACTGTTGCCATGAATGGGTGAATCTAGTCTGCAACTATGTTCAAGTAGTTTACAGACGTAAGGGATTTTTCTATGAGGATTATGGGTCCTAAAGTGCCCCATGAAAACATTGTTCTTGGGCGAGAAACCAGGAAAACCTGGGCGAACCCATTGTTATAGATGGATGGGGGTCATAATGTAATGGCTCTTTGGTGCATATGCTTGTAGCAATTTTGGGAATCTTTGAGCAGAACGATCTGGTTCCAGATAATTGGAATTAATAGAATATATTAAATAATAGAATATATTAATTAATATAATATTTTAATTAATATAATATTTTAATTAATATAATATATTAATTTATATAATATATTAATTAATGTAAATATTAACTTTACTTCATAAAATTTTATTCTTCTGAAAACTTTTTAGGAGCATATGACAGCGTAAGGTGGGGCTTACACTTTATATAAAATGTTATATTTTTGATACACTGGAGAAAAACAAATCTTAAGTAGGATTTCTAAAATGAAAATCCTACCAAGAGATAACATGACAATTAATCTAAACAACTAAATGGGTTTATCGATATTTTATTGGTGCACACAACAAGTCATAATAATGTATGTAATTGAGCAAATAGTGAGCATATCGTCCACATTGAAAAATATATACATCAAAATATCTATAATAATAACAACACGTTAGAATTTTGAGCGATATAAGAAGAAAATACCAGTTTGGGTGATACCACAGTTTTTTTTCACACACGTGATGCAATAAACTAATATAATTATATAAAAAAAATATTTTTTGTTAGTTTGTATCCATGCCAGTACCTAATATGAATAAATAAAAAATAATTTCATTTTTATTCATAAAAAACACGTTTGTGAAATTATAATTCTTAATTACAATTTACTTTCGCCCTGGATTGACCCATTTATTGACCTATTGATGATTTGTTAAGTATACGTGAATTTATTAGTTGCAAAGACGACATCAATATATCCGTCCAACATTGTCACCGAAAAATAAATATGTAAATTTTTTTTTCTGTTTGTATGTCTTTGCAAAGCGATTGCCTATGTGGGTAGGTACTTTGTTTAAGTCACATAAGAGCTGCACACTGGGCTTTTGGCGACGGTCTGGGAAACATCTCTGAAGATGATCCGAAAGCATGTTATCGCAATTTTGATCCTCTGCAGTGATTCGCAGGTTTAAATTTTACTTCTCTTATATTAATTATAAAAGCCACATTTTTGACAAAAGAAATTGAAAAAAAAAGATGCTTATTCCAATTAGTTGTTCTACTTGAATGTTTTCAAAGCGCAACTTAATACATTTTTCGATTTAGCTCTTAAATTATAAAAGCTGTCTATCTGTTATGACAAGAGTAGCTTGTATATCAAAAATATTTTTAAATACTGTTTTAATCTAGATAAATCACTTCAAGGATTTATTATATTTTTGTACGTGATATAGTCATCACACTAAATGAATTTTCATCAAAAAATCACTGTATATATGCATAGTAAAAAAAGCTACACAGTTAATATTGTCAGAATATTTCTTTTCTTTTCTTTTTTGCTCACTGAACTATAATGTAAAAATTTCTTTTTATTTTGGTCAGACAAGAGAGAATCCAAGTGGGTAAAATTGAATATAACTTTAACATAAATTTCGGAACATATCTTTCATTCTGATTAGGTGTGAACGTAGTACTTTATATATTTTTAAAGATACTGTGATGTAGTATATAAAGTATCAGTTTACTTGAAAAAAATAAATAATGATTATTAAAACTGTATTAAATTTTCCCTTCCTCCGCATGTGTCTGATAAATTTTATGAGCAGCATAAAATATGCAATAAAATAACAAGATTTGGTACTTCATTTTTAATGAAAATGTAAAGATATTAATGCTTTTACATATTAATGGATTAATAGTGCAAGAGGTTACAAGGGTACAAATTTTGTTAACATTCTATGCGAAGAAAAAAAAAATTCTTTTCAATGCTAGAATTCTTAATTTCTTAGAACTGCTTTCAGCCACACGCCGTTCTTTGGATAAGTTATCACCGTATGAGTGTGTAAAGTAAGTTCTTTCTCCGTTTTCTCAGAGGGTTGCAATTTCACTTTTTTCAGCAGCTTGAAAAGAATCATTTTTGCTTCCAGTTGGGCAAAGCGAGCACCAATGCAGTTTCTGGGTCCCGCTCCGAATGGCATGTATGTCATATTTTTAATCGATCCTTTGTTCTCTGGAGAAAAGCGATCTGGATCAAATTTATAAGGTTCTGGCCAATATTCTGGATCATGTTGGAGGTCCCAGACCGGAACAAAAACGTGCGCGTTTTTGGGAATCGTGTGAGGGCCAATATCGTAGTCTTGATCGCAAACTCTGGATGTAAAACCTGTTACTGGAGGATACAACCTAAGGGATTCATTGAATACTTGATCCAAATACTGAAGACCTGCAAAAGAATAAAATTTCACGATTGGATACAGGATTATAAAATTTATGAAAAGTGCAATTCAAATCACTTGCGTGCTATAAAAATATAATTTTAAATAACCACTTGTTTATTTTCTTTTCCTTTAGAGAGATGCCAACAATGATAATTTTACATGTATTTAATTTAAAAAATGGTTTTTCAAAAACAAAAAAAAAAATTGTGTTTTAAGCTTTTTTGCCTACGAAAATGAAGAGCCATATTTTCGGCAAAGCAATAATTTTGAAATATGGTAATTTGATATCCGCCCTCAATGAATTGTCTGGACTTTAAAATGAACTAATGTCTTCAATTTTAAAAAATATTATAAACTTTTTCCAAAATCACTAATGTGGTTAGAATTTTCTTCTGAAACGAAAATCATTTTTTCAATTCTGAGATGAAAATCATTAAAATCAAACTTTTTTTTCTTTCAAATTTCATAAAAACAGAAATTTTTTAAGTATTAACTAGATCACAAACAAATTTAATTTTCTGTATATTCTTCTAATTTTCTCCATATTGACATTTTCCACGATTTTCATAATTAGCTAAGAACAGCGGTTTCTAACTTTATTCGGCTGTAGATAAACCTACTTTTGGACTTAAAACTTCATTAGATGATGGGGAACATAAAATTAACAAAAAACTCTAAATTATTAAAAAATATATATAATGATCGAAGTTTTATGAGTTATTTTGAAAATATTTAGTGAGCGAAGGGAGAATGAATTTTTTTTCCATATCTTTTCTATCAATATTAGTTTTAAAAATGAGTTTTAAGTCAGACAGTTGCATTCATAAGTCTGGAACGGCGTCTAGTCCAGTTCTTAATGTTTTTTAATGCATACATAAGCTGAAGACGAATGAGCTGAAATATGCTTTCCACTAAAAGAAAAACGGAAAAATAGAAAATAAACGTTAGGAATCAGAGAAGCATACTTTTTCGCTGATTTTGTAAATGCATATCCTTTTCACAATCCATTCATTATGTTATTGTTATTAGAAAAACATTGCTTTGATTTTTTTTTCAGAATCATTTTAATTGAATACTTTAATGAAAACTATGGAAATACTAAATTTATAATGCATTATTAACTGAATATAAGTTTAATCGCAGGTTTCGAGAGTCATAACTGGTTAACAAAAATTCTGAAACATGGAACGCTAGGGTTCCACGGAACACTATTTGGGAGCCACTGGTTTAGAAGTTGCTGACTGGAGAAATGCGAAATTTTACCGTGCAGTAGAATTTAAGTGACAAACTTTACGATACTCAACCTAACGACTGAGCTTTTGAAAAGCAGCCTTAATATTAAAAGAGAATAAGATATTTTATGAAACCTTGTATCGTTGCGTAATCTGAATCCTTTACATCTTTTATCTCCTCGTAGAGACGGTCCTGTATCTCTGGATGGGTTACTAACAGGTGGAAGGTAAAAGCCAAAGCTGTTGCTGTTGTTTCATAACCAGCTAAGAATACTACGAAAGCTTGGGCCACAACTTCCTCTTCGGTTAATTTAGTTCCACTTCCAGCTGTAAATGGAGAGGATAAAATTGTTCTTCATTGTTAGAAAACTGATATTAATGATGGTAGTTATTTAAAAAAATTAAAAGTTTACAAATTAGTTAAACATGGATATTTCAAAATGAGTATAATATTAGGGGGAAGAATTATTTTAGGAATAGAAATATGTAAAGATACACCGGAAAAAAAGTATGTGGGCTTAAAAGTCTAATCTTGTATAAAACGATAGGTAAATTTGAATTGATTTGGTTTGAATTGATTAACACAAGTTTAAACACAAGTTTTACTTGGTGAGGAGAATAAAACAAACGTAGTTGCATCTTCTTAAAATAAAATGAATCACTGCATACATAACGACTTTATTTCTGCTAACTACTTTTCGAGAAAACTGAAAACAAAAATGCTTTCAGCTTTTCCTAGGAGTGCAAAAAAAAAAATCGCATATTTATAAGCTTTTATCTAGCTCGATCATATAATAATTTTTTCTTTTTTAGATTTTTCGAATTGATAAGAAAAGCAAAAAAATTTTTTTTCCCTCGAATACTTCTAAGATGATTGAAGCAATTTTTGCATACAACAATTGAATACAATTATAAATTTACAGTCAAAATAATGATTTTTAAAAGCATTTTTTAACAAAAGATTTAAATTAGGAATTGAAAACAATTTTCTTTAAAATTTTAATTAAATATTCTTTTTTAATTTTAATTATGAGCTTTTGATTAAACTAAAATGTGCTAAGAGCTTAATTGGAGAGTAGAATACAGCTTGTAAATAATATAATTTTTTAATGATTCTAGAAACAAATATTAAAGGTGGTCTTAATGGAACACCCCTCTATGAGCTGTAGGCTAAAAGTAAAAAACAATGCTATTCATTGCATCGCTGTGCAGTAAATAATCGTTATGCAACTTCAATCGTAGCTACTTCATTTATGTCGCACCAGGGGCCCTATTACCAGCTTCACGGAATCTGATTCCGATCGAAATGAAGCTCTCGTGACGTCATAAATCCGTGAATGTCAGTTAAGCCGTATTACGAGCTCTTGATTCCACTCGGAACTAAATTCCGATGCGAAATTATTACGAATCCCATTCCGGCAGGTTTAAGAGTAAGCGAAATCTAGATTCCGATAAGAGTTTGTTTATTTCAGTGAACAAAATGGCGCTGTTTTCCGTCATACAGCCAGCTATTGCTGAAGAGAGTGATCGAAACACTATTAAGAGAAAGATCTATCGGCTTAAAAGATTTTGGGTATTCCAATATCCCGACAACAAAATTTAGAAATTAATTTAGATTGGAAAT